AGCCCTTCCTCCTCCTCCTAGTCCAGTCTAGACTAGACGCCCACTACACCTAACATACAGCTCGTCCCTAGGATTTTCTTTTCTTCTTTCTGGTGTTAGACCCCATTTACTGGATCCCACACTTCCTTGTTCTTGGTTTACTTCATCATTTAGTTGAACACATCCTTGGTAACTTCCTGAGTAGGGGTAGACGGGAGGTAAGTTTTTCGAGGCAGGACTGAAAAATGCATTTATTTAGCCTGACACTTGATTGACAGTGTGGCTAAGCATAGAATTTTGTGTTTAAAACAATTTTCCATCAGCTCTTTAAAGGCAATATGTAATTCAGTTGTTGCTACTGAAGAGTTCAATAACATTCTGATTCCTATTTCTTGTATGGAAACTATTTCTTTCCTCTCTAAATCATTTCAGAATCTTCTCTTTTTCCCTGGTGTTTTCTAGTGAAAGGGATGAAACTTTTAATATAGAAATCCCTTTCGCTTTGGCAATATTGATTGTATTATTCCTTAGATACTGTCCTCTCTTCCATTTTCTCTAGTATATATTTCTAAAGCCATTATTTAAGATGTTACACTTTCTGGATGAATACTCTAGTTTTCTTATTTGTCTCCACTGTTGCCCCTCTCTGTTATTTTACTTTCTAGATTTCTTAACTTTCCCTTTCAATCCTTCTATTACAGTTTTCATTTCCAAAAGCTCCTGTTTTTACTTTTATAGCATTCTATTTATGTCTCATTGTTCAATAAAATGCTCTTTTATGTAAGGATATCTTGATTCTACTGACGTTTTCTTCTGCTCCCTTCACTGTCTGTTTCTTCTATGTTCTTATTTCTGTCTCAATTTGGAAGCTTTCCTCAAATGTCCAGGGTTTTTATATTTAAGACGGAGGCAGTAAATACCTACTTGGAAGCTCTTACAGAAGGAGGCTTGCTGACTGTAGTCTTCTCTGTAGAACCACTGGAAGGTATACTGGCTTTTTCACTGTATAATTCCATCACGAAACCCTAAAACAGGTCTATATGCTCTTGGGCTGTTCACCACTTCTGGAGCCCAATTTACTGTCTTGTATCTGTCTGGGCTTGGACCAGAGCAGGTGAAGGTCAGGGAATGACTTCACCATTTAGTTTGTAGGCTTTCACATAATTCTAGATTTCAACCTTGAGCCTTACCCCCACCCTTCTTTATCATTATTTCCAGATGTGGAATCTCTCTAGTTCACTTCGTTTGAAAATAAACCTCAGGTCTCTTGTGTTTAGAAGGGAACTGAGGGGGCAGAGGTCAGGATTTGCCACCTGGTTGCAAGTGATATTAATGCAAGGACAGATGGATCACTGAAACAAAATGAAAAAGTACTAACTCATGTATTCATGGGAGCTTAATAAAGGGTGGCACACAGTAAGTTGAGGCCTCATTACCTGTTAATTCACCTCCTTAACAGTGACTGCCTACTTGTCTGAATAAAACACATTCTCAATGTAGGCCAGGAATACTCCCTTTTATCTACTTGCCAAACCACTCCGGCTGTCTGCCTATATTGCCTCTTTTTATGATGTTATTTTTTTTTTTTTTAATTTTAAAAATAAATTTATTTATTTATTTAATTTTTGGCTGCGTTGGGTCTTCGTTGCTATGTGTGGGTTTTCTCTAGTTGTGGTGAGCGGGGGCTACTCTTCATTACGGTGCACGGGCTTCTCTTATTGCGGAGCATGGGCTCTTCAGTAGTTGTGGCACGTGGGCTCAGTAGTTGTGGCCACAGACTGTAGAGCATAGGCTCAGTATTTGTGGCGCATGGGCTTGGTTGCTCCGTGGCACGTGGGATCTTCCCAGACCGGGGCTCGAACCCATGACCCCTGCACTGGCAGGTGGATTCTTAACCACTGCGCCACCAGGGAAGCCCTATGATGTTCTTAAAACTATTAAATCACCTCTCCATCTTGAAGGGCATATGTTGTCTCAAGGTCTTGCCTCCCTTGATAGAATTTGTCTCCTTTTGAAACTGGGCTTTAACTTTTAAAGTTAAATCTAATTTGGAATAAAAGGTAACAGTCATTAATTCATAAACATTTACTGAGTGCCTACCATGCCCCAGGCACTGGGGACACATAGATGAAAACAATATGGTCCTATCCTCAAGTTGCTAGTCTAGTCTCACAGCCTTTCTTAACTGGGAGTCCTCGTCTGAATCATAGAACACAGAAAATTATTTCGGTGACTGTTTTCTTAATTCTCTCCAAAATGGTATGTAACTACTATCATGCTGGATGCATGGGAAAGATGTTAATTCATTACACATAATAGATGCCTCAGAGGATTATAGATTTAATCTGCTTGCAGAACTCTGGCTGAGAGCTGAGTGACAAACAGCCAGATACAACAGTTTGATAAGTGGTATGCACCAACTCACTAGTGATAAAATTATAAGAAAATCTTAAAAACAGTAATTACTTAAAAAAAATCTGTAAACTATTCTCAATATGCGGTTTAGTCAATATAATTATAAAATTATTTTTTAAAACTTAAAAAGTTAGTTTTAGAAAAGACTGTGGTAGTGAACAATGTATGTTGTGATGATTAGCATTTAGCAGCTAACATTTATTGAATGCTTACTATGTACTGGGCACTATTCGGATCACTTAACATATATTATTTCCTTTAATCCTCATAAACCTACCTTATAGCATTACAATTCTTATTTTACGAATGAGAAAACAGGCTTAGAGAGATGACTTATAAGGTCAAACGAGTTAAAACACGATAGTAAATGATTCAAATCCAGCCTGTCTGGTACCAGAGCCTGAGGTCTTAGGCTTTATGATATAAAATCCCTCTCCAAGTGACTAAATATTCTCCTTCCCATGGGAATAGGTAAAAATTACCCTGAAGTTATGGTCTGTTATAAACCCTAGTATGAACAGTATAATGGGTATGGAAGAAAGATAAGGCCTACATGGGGTGCGAAAAACAAAACACCAAATAACCCAAACTCTATATTTTGAATAATTAAAGGAAACAGAGAGTCATGTACACCCAATTTTTTTTTTTTTTCCTCGGTACGCGGGCCTCTCACTGTTGTGGCCTCTCCCGTTGCGGAGCACAGGCTCAGCGGCCATGGCTCACGGGCCCAGCCGCTCCACGGCATGTGGGATCTTCCCGGACCGGGGCACGAACCCGTGTCCCCTGCATCGGCAGGCGGACTCTCAACCACTGTGCCACCAGGGATGCCCACGTACACCCAAATTTAAGGGAATATTTGTTTGCTTGCTTTAAGTAACCAAAATTAAGGTTCTGCAAGGAGTGTTGTTTTATAGCTTTAAATGTGCTCCAAAAAATACAATTTCTAGCTAAATTATATATATAAAAAATTTAACTCAACATAAAAGAACTCTAGATCAAGTGTTATCCAAGATCCAAGAACTGGCTCACCATTTTACTTTCCATTAAAAACTTAACAGCAAAAAAACAAAAAAACATTAAGGGATGCTTTCCCATTTTTAAAAAAAGTATACACAGTACATTTTGGTTTCTTATTATTTAAACCTGTCAAAAAATAAAGCCATTTTGAGAAAATAGAGATTATTATCTCTTTTTGGTAATATTGCAACCTTTAAATTTTTCTGTAGAGGCATTTTCTGACAAATTTGGTTTTACAGAATGAAAGAATGGTAGGTCAAACTGCTAGGTTATTTTTGTGACATATTTTCCTATATTCTGATGTCTAATAGTCTACTATTACTAATAATTTTTGTTTTAAACTAGTAAGAAAATATTTTAATGACATTTTGATTATGGTAATAAAACAAAATTAGTACTATTACTACACAGGTAATGGTAAAATAAGATTTTTAAAGATTCTTTATGTAATAGAAATCTTAACTTTTTCACTCATGTTTATAATGTCTTCTGATAATCTATCTCATTCATTTTGTCACTGACATTGTTATTTAACTGGGGCTTTTATTTTTATTTCTCAGAGTCTTATTAATTTGTTGATTTAGCCATACATTTTTTTCAAGTTAGAAAAATGTGCTTAGCTTTCCTTATTTAAATTAATGTCTTTTACCCAAACCATTAACATTCTCTTCTAATTGGCAACTTCTAGTGTTCTTTTAGCAAACCCTCACCAGCTAAATTTCTCAAGTAGTTTCATGTCATATAGCTTGTTTTCTTTTAATACATAGCCATAGAAAGCTAAGAGTGCATTCTGTCAAGCTAGCAAATTCCCTTTGCTCTCCCATGGAAGATCTCTTTCCAGCTTTGAAATGTTAAGATTCTAATGTTTACCAAGAGACATACAATTCTTTTAATGTAACTTTCATGTATTTATTTGCTTGTAACACACAAAATGTGCCATTCTAACTTAGTTTCAGTTTATATTAAATGAAGGCACGAGTCTAAGCACTAACTCTGCCTTATGCCCTGTAAACTGTTGCTTGAGGTACAAGTTGAACTTGAAAAGATATAGAATATTTTAAAATTTACGTCAGAAACCTTGCCCAATTCTTTGATTCAATTAATTTGTATCCAAATGGGACTATCTTCATTTCTGTAATGAACTTTCATTCTTATTCTAAATATTTAAGAATCCATAAGGCACTGGTGTAAATATGAGAATCTAAGTCACCCAAGGAGTCTTAGATCAAGAATAACCTTAAAATCTGGGAAACAGGGCTAGCTCAAAGCTCAAGAGCAGACAGGGTGTAGGTGGATGGTAGCTGGGTAATTATATATTCCCACACCTATCATCTTACATTAGGGAAGAAAGAGCCTCAAGTCTCATCTATTGCTTAGTCTTTAGTTTTGGATGCTTGGTTTTAATACCAAATGAAGAGCCACATTAAAACTAACCCTCATTCTGTCTCAGATGTCATAACTACAGATTTGAAAAAACTGACCCTGTTACATCCCAGACACTGAAATCATGGAACATATTGGTTGTGTTTTCAATTTGGAAGACAAATATGTCATTTTAGAAATCAAGATTAAAAATCAGAATTTCATACCTTGTGCAAGCATGTTAAATTCCAAGAACAGTGCTATGTGGTAAAGTTCCATGGCTTCTTCTGCCCTAGTCATGTTTGGCTTCCCTGCGACGAGAGCCTGAACTTCACTGAGACTCCCCACAGAGGGGCTACAGTGCAAAACGGAGAGGTCCACCACGTCAGTATACATACAGTGTAATATAACTTTCGCATATTTTTTTGGTATAATGGACTCATCTAATATAATTCTTGTGGGAGTCCTTAAAGTTCGGTCTGTGATTTCTTCACCAGTCCGTATCCTCCTTTGTAATAAATTTCGAAAAAATGGGGACCGTGCTGAAATAATAGCCTTATGAGCTTTGAGCTCTTCATCTAAACAGTTCTGATTTCCACCAAAAGCTTCAACCAGTTCAGAGTCTGAAGAAAAACTAAGGACGACATCATAATAACACATGTAATCAAAGAGTCCACGCATATCTACATCAAGGGAATTTGGTGTTCCAAATTCTTCACTAAGCTGAACGAGGATATCAACATTTTGAAACCTTGAGTCCTCCATTCCAAACTCTCCTGTATAAAGGTAGTGTAACAACGCAGAAAACATGGGCATATCTATACCAGCTGTACTGATGTCCATTATGATCTCTGCCCCATACTCGGGTGAGGAAGAAAGTAGTGTTTTAAAAAATGGACATCTTGCCGCCAAAATGGCACGATGAACAGGAAAACAAGTTTCTTGAAATATTAAGTCTACATCAGTACAATACTTGTACTCATAAAGATCGGCCATATCTTTCTGCAATGTCCGGGCTTCTGGTCTAGCCAAACTGGCTTGTAGAGAAAGCTCCTTTAAGGCTGAAGTTCCCTCATATTCCTCCACTAATGCATTGACATCTCGAACATCCCACCCAGAGAGGAGTTCTCGCATCTGCTTGGCGTGATCAGCAGACCTATTAGATTTTCGACGCTTGATAAACTTCTTCTTGAGGGTGGCAAGGCCAGAGGTTCTCTTTTTTTTGTCTTGTGGTTTCTCATGGCCATGGTCAAGGCTATATAATTTTGATTCACAACCATAGCCTTGCTGAGAATAGGATGATGTCCCTAAGAAGGAAATTAAACAAATGAAAACTTGTCTCTTTTTTCGTGACAGTCATTTTCAGCATTCAATTTAATACGCATTTTGTGCTAAAAATATTTACAGACAGACATTTCTGAACCATTCAAGTAAAACTGATTTCTGTTTTCATAAAGGAAGACTAAAGAGTTCAGATAACTCATTTTTATACTAAAGAAAGAACAGGGACAAACAAAGCAGATTATTAATTGTAAAAAATGCTGCATTTGTATGGGCAAAATAAATGGACCAAGACACAAGAAACATATTTTGCTATTTCCACACCAATGGAGATTCCTAGTTTTCCTAGGGTAATTGGCAATTATGGTTAAGACAACCAAAGAAAAGCTCAACTGTGCAACAGCAGCTTGCTTAGGATAAAAATCATATAAGCCAGATTTACATTTGATGGGAAAAAATCTGGATATTACAGAATTATTATCTGTAATAACTTTTTCCATAGCTTAATCCTTTTTTTAATCCAAAAAGACCACCGAAAACCCGATTCTATTTATACTCACAAAAGAAAATGAAGTTAGAAAAACTGAAACAGTTACCTATAAAAGTCTGTTGGGCTTGAGAATTTCCCCCTACCCTCGGGGAACATGAATGAGGATAGTTAGATGCATTAGCACCCATTTTCTTCAGTCACTCAGGCATTCCATCTGCTGGTTCTTCAGAGTATAATCCCAGAGGCCTTTACGAACTTTCAACCCTGGATCCAGTAGCCTCTTTTCATCCATTTCTTGATATGAAACAAAAATAATTTAATTCATTTTTTCAAATGTATCTCAAATTGTACAGTTAAAAAAAAAGCAAGCTACTGAAAACTGCTTTTATTTGCAAATAATGACATGCTGTAAAATTCACATGTAAAAATTTCAGAAAATGTAAACAGCTGAACTATGAATCAGTACTATCTGTAATCTTGAGCCATAAAAGGTACCAATTATATACTTTCTAAGAAAGTAAAAAGTAACATATCAGACTTATTTAAATATAGTTACAGAAAGAATATTTCAAATCACAGGGAAAAGTATTTAGACTAAAAAGAAACTTTTCAAAAAATTTTTTTTCCTTAGAGGCAACCACCAGTCAATATAATCTAACATTCTAAGCCATTTACAAACACTTAAGAGGTGTTTGATACCAGTAGTGCAAATGCATGTATGTTGATGCAGACATACAGAGAACAGATAGTTGAATGGTTTGTTGTTTTTCTACCTTAGATAAAATTGTTTAAATTGATCCTTAATCTGTGTAATTAGGCATTTTACTGAAAGAGGGGGAAGGAAAGGTGGACAGTTCAAACTAAATTATCTTTAGGCTACTTGTTCTATAGCAATTTTGAGAGAAGTTATAATAAGTACAGTGAGGAGACACAAGGAAAAACAAAAACTTTTATCATTCCTCTCCATAAAGCCCTGAAATAAAAACACTACTTTCTTTTACCTGATATTATGACTTAACAGGGACAGGGTAGTACCAGTTTAAGAGATAATTTTAACAATTAGAGATTAAATTCTACATCACGGAACCTTAACTCTCAGAGCTACAAACAGAAGATATAAGCGCAAAGAGAAGAAATTCTCTGAGTGTTAACAGGAATGCTTCAAAATATTTATACCATCCAGATATATAAAATTTATTTGACCAAAAGCAATAATGGCTTAAGAGAAAACACAACTCAAAATCTATTATTGGAACTGTTAGGAAACCAACCAGTAGGCAGTCAATCTGGCCTCATAATTAAGGATGAAACGTTTTAACAAATAAGTGTTAAACACACACACATACATATCATAAAAAACCTGCTGGAAAACAGAACTATGTCAAGATTCTTGGAATTTATTTTCATCTCTCTTACACAGTGTAACCTTAGGAATTCAAGTTTAAGAAAATCACTCTACATTTGTCCTTTCCTTCAATCTTTTCCTACTATAAATATGTGGAAATTTGTTTATCTAAGCATAGAATTATCTACCTACAGTGTTCAAGAGAAAACTGGGAAACGTTCTACTAATTACATATTATGCAAAGTAGCAGTAACTTCAATCAAATCGTATGCTCACATGAGCAAATTTAATTTCCTATTGGAAATTTACCTACCTACCCTAGAACACAGCACATTATAGACTTTTTACTTCAGTGCACATTACTGATGCTCAGCAGCAAGAGATGTGACAGTACGTTCTGGTTTTTTTTTTAGATTTTTAAAAAATATTTATTTTATTTATTATTATTATTTTTGGCTGTGTTGGGTCTTCGTTGCTGCACATGGGCCTTCTCTAGTTGCAGTGAGCGGGGGCTACTCTTCGCTGTGCTGTGCAGGCTTCTCATTGCAGTGGCTTCTCTTGTTGCAGAGCACGGGTTCTAGGTGCATGGGCTTCAGTAGTTGTGGCACGAGGGCTCAGTAGCTGTGGCTCGGGGCTCTAGAGGGCAGGCTCAGTAGTTGTGGCACACAGGTTTAGTTGCTCCGCGGCATGTGGGATCTTCCCGGACCAGGGCTTGAACCCATGTCCCCTGCATCGGCAGGCGGATTCTTAACCACTGTGCCACCAGGGAAGCCCGACAGTACATTCTGTTAAGAGCTACCCAGCAAGGAATCCAGAGGGTTTAATCAAGAAAATTACTTCTTCCAGAAAAGTCATTTTCTTAAAGGTTGATGCTCAGCGTACGTAAATTCACAGTTTTCTATTCTTAAATATTAAAAAGGTAGAAAAAGCAATTTTTGGTAATTCACTTTGAATGTTGTCAACTTTTATAAAATGGAAACTAAATGTGCCTATGTTAGTTTCAGTTCAAACTTTAAAAAACAGTAAGTCTAAGTAATAAATCTTAGGTTTCAAATTGAGCTCCTTAAAAAGTTTCAAGGTTCTATCAGGCATTTTTACTGGTTCCTTAAAAGAAAATAGGGTCTCTAAAAAACAATACAAATCAACTTATTTACAAACCAGAAACAGACGCACAGACACAGAAAACAAACTTATGGTTACCAAAGGGGAAAAGGGAAGGGGAGGGATAAGGGATTAACAGATACACAGCACTATATATAAAATAAACAACAAGGATTTACTACATATCACAGGGAACTATATTCAATATCTTGTAATAACCTATAATGGAAAAGAATCTGAAGATATACACCTGAAACTAACACAATATTGTAAATCAACCACAGTTAAATATTAAAAAAAAAAAGAAAGAAAGAAAGGAAAAGAAAATAGGATCCTGGAAAGCCAAGTCTGTGGCCTCATTTACAGGTCAAATCCTATTCTCAGTCACTAAAGATTTGTATTTAAAACATAGAAACAGCATAGGCAATCCTTTCTCAAAAATAGTTTGAAGTATATTAAGAAAAATCCAGAATAAAAACATGCAAAATAAAAGCCTTTACCAAAATGAGAAAAAAAAAGATTAAAAAGATGAGCATTAAATCTGGAAGTAATGGTGGATGGTGGAAAGTGCTGATAAAGTGTTTCTTAAGTGTCACTCTATGAAGTGAGAGAGTGGCATGGACATATATACACTAACAAATGTAAAACAGATAGCTAGTGGGAAGCAGCTGCATAGCACAGGGAGATCAGCTCAGTGCTTTGTGACCACCTAGAGGGATGAGATGGGGAGGGCGGGAGGGAGACACAAGAGGGAGGAGATATGGGGATGTATGTTTACGTATAGCTGATTCACTTTGTTATAAAGCAGAAACTAACACACCATTATAAAGCAATTATACTACAATAAAGATGTTAAAAAAATAAATAATAAAGTGTCACTCTAATGGTAGTCCTCGTCTTACTTCCTTCTTTAAGGAAGGAAGTTCCATTCTTCCAACTTCAATTCTTGAAGTTCCATGTTGTTGGAACTTCATTTTTTGTTGTTGTTGTTCTGTTTTGCTTTTTGATTTCTAATGACTGCAGAGTAAACCCACTAACATAGCACAAAGTATGCTGTCAAAACAAACCAAGGAAGAATGGAGGCTTGCTTCCAGATGAAGAAAAGTCAGAGCATCTATAGAAGTGGACAGAGTTAACTGTTCTCACTTTGTCACACAAATGCGTGCACACACATATACGAGAATTATCTTCATCTGAGAATTTTGTACAGTTTGCAGGGACACCAAACATTATTACATTGGTCTGCTTGAGATTTAAACCATGCCAAAAATGCCTTAAAAAAAATCTCAGTTTTATGATGAGCACAATTAGATATTCTAAAGCAACCACAGAAGGGTTAGAAGACATCACCAGACCCACTGAAGACACAAGAACACCTAGCAAGCACTAGAGAAGTCACAGCTGAGATATAGATGCTTGGCCATTTGCCACTATAATTAGCGCCACCAGGACAGCTGGGGTCTCACTCTGGTGATGTGGCTTGAAATAAAAATGTCTTTGGGACTTAGGGACAGAGTCTCTTCCTGGTAGCTCCTAGTCAATGGAAATCCCCTTCAAGATGAACTGATTTGGGTGACATTAATATCTTCTACTAGAGCTCTAGTACTAAAATAAACACAGGTCTTGGAAAGACTTGGTGGGAGAATCTTTTCTGGATCAGATATAACCCTTAAGTCCACCCTGTGTCCCCAATCCCAAATCCTGGGGGTAACCCTGACTAAGTTACTAAAGCTGTATCTCTCAAAATTCTCAGAGAACAATTTATTTCTTAGGTAACCAAAACCTCATGCCAAGTGGAACGCAGTATGATGTTATTTCTTTCTTAATCGAATCCACTGCCTTTAAATGCTGGAAGTGAGAGTCAGTCACAGTCTTACCTCTCCAGGGATGTTTTCATTCCAGGCAAGCTTTGTCTGTATCCTACACAGAACAAGATGAAATCTAATCTTTGGATGATATGACAGGAAAGGAAAGGGAAAGGAAAGGCCTATGGGACTGGGAGAGGCCCAGAGGATGCAAATAGCCCTAGAGAACTCATAAACCCTTTTCCTAGAATCACCTTTCTGGGGGAGCTCCTTCTGTTAACAGTTGACATGACCAATCTCAATCAGAGGATCCAACTGGCTTAAAAGAAGCTTCAGTGATTGTAGTAGACCCAACTAAGGGAGAAAAACCATGCTGAATGCAAGAGAGAATTAACAACCCTATGAAAAAAATTTCAAAACCAAAAATCAACCTCTCTCTCCTCCCAAAATCCCTAGGCTAGCATTTCCAAACAGTTTTCGCAATGTTTGGAAAATGCAGTATTAAACAAAGCTTTACTTTTCTTTACTTCAGAACTTTTTGGCATCTTTAAAGTGGTAAGGTGCATTGTGAACCTCCAAGAGGAAGTATTCAGCATAATCTAAAGGAGGCCCTTTGCCCCACAGAGCATTAAAAGAATGGACTTGCAGAACACACTTTAGAAAACTCTGACCTTTGCATAAAAATACTTGTTACACTTTAGGCAGCAGAGAGAACAATGAGTGTCAGGTATCTGGGATAGAGTTCTCCCTCTTGTCACTAATTTACCACTTACACAGGATAAGCTACATTTAACTTCTATGAGTCTCAGTTTTTGTAAACCTAAACTGAAATGTATGGGTTGCAACATCTATAAATTACGTCAAAACAGGGTTCCTAAAATCCGCTGAAGCTGTAATACTTATTGATTTGGAAAATGAGGATGGGGAGGGGGGTTACTTCTATATTAAATGTTAGTGTACAGAGAAAAAAAAGGCAATTGGACTCTGGAATTTAAACATGCTTTCCACTTAGTCCGATTTTTACGGATAATTATAGAAGAACA